ATTTCCCTATATTCCTTACCACAGATCCTAAACAAATTACTTATCTTTGGATTCTGTTTATTCATCATAAAAATGGTATAATTCCTGCCTTGAAGGGATTCTGTGGGATGAGAGTGGATACTTATATGTGAGAGTAGTTATTTCATTTTTTAACAACCTCTGTACACGAATAAGATGGTCACTGAAATACCAAATCATTCTGCTTTTATGTATAACCACTCTATGAATCCTGAGGATATCATAATGAAAGCACAGATCTTAACCTTTCTGAGTTCTTGAACCACTCTGAGTCACAAGGAGAGGGAGAAATATCAGACATCTGCAAAAATTTTGCGTATAATTTCAAGACATTCATGCACTCTTTAAAGATTTTCATGGATCTTAAAAAAAATAACTAAAAAACAAAAAATTAATGCTGTGCTTCTGGCTATCTTAATAGATAGATACAAGGAAAAAATAAATTACAGAAACTCATTCTGTCAATGATTTAAGAGCCACAGGTTCTCCACCAAACAGAAAAGTTCACTGCCAATGGAGCAAAAGCTCCAAGGACTTGCATTCAACTGGAAATGCAGCTGGCACCTGCTATCTGTCACTTTTGCTACTGTGGGGACAAGCAGAAAGCTTTCTTTCCTCCCTTCTTTACTCTAGCAGTCTGGCCAAAAATTAAAAATTAAATTAAATTTTTAAAAAATCATTCACGGCTTTAGAAAAAAAGCCTTATTCTACTTTCCAAATAGTGAGTTAATAAGGCAAGCTCATTTATTATTTAAATTTGAAGGTTTTTCTGTTTTTAACAATTTCAGGAGTCATTCAAAACTTTACGCTCTACTCACTTTCGAAACGCAAATAACTGAACAAGAAGCTGTGTAAATGAAATAAAGTCAAAGTCTAAAACAAACAAAAATAGAGTCTAAAAAACAATTCATTCCAGTTCTCGTCAACACGCATATATTAGAGCACATCTAGGCAAGCTTCTAATATGGATGAGGGGTATCATTCATTGTTCAAACATGGTAACTACCTATTCAATATTTATTGAATATATAATATATTCTGAATTTTTAGAATAAGAATGAAAACAACTGAATATTAATTACAAGTACCTAGCATAATGCCTGACATGTAACAGATGTTAAAAAAAAGATCTGCTGGATGAACAAACCAATGAATGACTGAACAAATAACAGGGAAAATATGACTTTACTAAAAATTTAGACAACACAGATTTCAAAGTTTCTGCCACATTAACAAGCCAGATACTCTTAGCTTTCTAGCAAACTTTCTAGTGAAGCAAATGTGGTGGTAAAGGACAAATAATCAAAGATGGTTTAAAGGTTTCCAGGGGCACCTTGGTGGCTCAGTCGGTCAAGCGTCTGACTTCCACTCAGGTCACGATCTCACGGTTGGTGGGTTCGAGCCCCGCTTCGGGCTCTGTGCTGACAGCTCAGAGCCTGGAGCCTGCTTCGGATTCTATGTCTACCTCTCTCTCTGTCCCTTCCCTGCTCACGCTCAGTCTCTCTCTCAAAAATAAACATTAAAAAAAAAAAGGTTTGCAGCTTGTCACAAATAAAAATGCTAAGAAGTTATGCTAATATTAAAGGGTTACTTGGCCAAAATCACACTGGCCATTGCTTTGATCCCTCATTGTTGAAATAGAAACCTGACTCAAACAAATCTGACAGTATGGAACTGACCTCAAGATAAAAGACTAAAAAGAAGGGCACTTATTTAAAAAATGCACACTTTCCACTATGTAGTTTCCTAACCAAAGAAAATAAAAATACTAAATAAGAATGAAACTACAGAAAAAAGGAAAAAAGATACAGAATCAGTACAGTTTATTTTTAAGGGCTTTTTTAAAAAAGCAAACCATATAAGCTTAAATAAATAGTGTGGCTCAATATATCAATAATAATTCAACATTCTCTCATTATCAAGGACTTAATTGTAAAATGTGTTTAGTTCAATCTTTAAAATCTTAAAAACCAGAAATTGACTTTAAATATAAATCATTAATAAGGTAAAAAATAACCAAAGTGGATCTTAATTATCAATGTGATTTATCCATTAATTGAATCAAATTTTCAAAGGCAGCTTAACATTATAAGTACCACAATATTTATGCTCTTTAGCCCCTAATTTGAAAACTGTATGTGAATGATTAGGCAGAAAAAGGAGATAGAAACTCTGAGGTATAATGATTTTATAAAAATGTAATATAAACCACTTATAAGAATAGTTTGCACAAAAAATATATTCTTTTCCTGAGGATCTTATTATTCAATTGCATAAAAGTTGTCTTCTGTAGTAATAACTTACAGAATAAAATATCAGTTCTATTTTTCAACAAATTGTTAAAGGAGAGATAAATCATCTATTATTTACCCTTTTGGTGCCTAAAACTTGAAAATCTAACCTCAACATTGGAGAAAAAGTTGAAGTCATGATGGGAGGTATATACAACAGGAATTCAGGTTGGCTAACATATCTGGGCATATTCTTTCTGTTTTAGATATTCCCGTGATGTTATATGTTATTCAGACAAATAGGACATATACAGGATGGTTAAGAAATTTTTTAGATATGCCAGAATTATGCTGCAAATATGGGGCTTGGGGAAGTTATTTAAACTATATGTGATCCTGTTTTGCCATTGCTAAAATTCAAAAAAACGATAGTACCCACCTCAAGAAATTTACATGAGATATATGGACATAAAACGTGGCACCAGGTAATCAATCAGTAGGAGCATCCCCAGTGGTACTGAGATTTCATCATTGAGATAAAACTTACGTGCATAGTATGGTAAATGATCAATGAATGAAAAAGAACATTCCACTGAGAATCTTCTAATACCGGGATGCTTGTGCAGATAAACTAGAAAATCAAGGTTCCAGTTCTCTGGAAAGTGTTCATTCTGGCCAATCAGATGTGATTTTAAGAATTTCATTAAGAAGCAATGATTAAGTACTAAGCAGTATGTTATCTTCTGGCACCACAGGAAAGAATGAATTCTATGCCGATACTTGAAAATAAGAGAAGTACTTTAAGAGACCTGAAGGAAGGTTTCTCTGTATTATAAGGAGGTACCTAACTATGATTTGGTTAGAAGGTGAAAGGGAGAGGAAGGAGTTGAAAGAGTTATACTTTTTTATCACTCATCTGTTCTAGAAGATGACCAACCTACACAGCACATTTTGTTTAGTTCCCTTCACAAAGTACTGAATGGTGAATCATCAAGACAGATACCTACTAGATTACTGGGGAGGGCATTCTGGGGTAATGGAAATGTCCTATATCTTGTTTTGTGTGGTGATTACACAGTATATACATCCGTCAGAACTAAAAATATTCAACAGGTAACAGGTGTTTTGTTTTGTGCTAATGACACACAACACCATTAAGAAAAATATGGCTCATTTAAGAAAGTACTCCCTGCCTTCTCACTGGAAAATGTGAGAATTTAAAAAGTACAATCATTATAAAATGAACTACAGAATGATCTAATCTCATTCCAAACATTTTAGGCAAGATATTCTTTTAACTTTTCAGTGATAGATGATGCGGAGAAATTGAGATCACAGACTATTAAAGTGCCTCATGGTCTCATTCATTGCAGAATCTAAGAATGCGAGGTACGTCTTCCAGCCACAGTTCACCTGGTTTTCAATACTTTGTGTCTGAAATTGTCAGTGGGCAATTTGTTTCACTGCTTGTCGGATGTATACGTGGCGGAAGAGGGCTTGGGAAAAACAGTCCTGGCATTACGGAGTTTTCAACTAGAAACCCAAAACCCAGCTTCTAGGTCCGGAACTAAAATGTGCATGGCAATTTTGGACAACTCACTTGAGAATTCTGTGCCCGTGATAATCTCCTATCACAGAGCTGTCATAAAGATAAAGTGCGTTTATTTGTGAAAGCACTCTGAAAAGTCAAAGCAATATATTAGTATTTCAAAGTGGCACTGGCGATGTGGTGTTGCTGCCCTGGTCAAACCCCAAACCTAAAACTCTGGCATTTGTATGTTCTTAGGGAACACGCACACACATCTCATGTGAACTAGAAGAGACCGGTCAAGGGGCAGAAACAGGCCACTCCCACTCCAGAAAAAAAGGGGGGTGAATGAGATGTCTTCCAGTACTAACTACACTTCCAGAACACTAGATTTCTGGGATTTGATCTTCCAAGACACCTGCTGTAATCTTCCACACTTAAAAAGGAAACTGACGGGATACGATCTATATTAAGTTAAATTCTTCAGTCCCTAGCCTTGCCAACAATCAGGGAAGAAACTGAATTGCTCTTGGAGTACAGAGAGCTTTACTCCCCAGATACCGCAGTGTTAGGCAGTCAGCAAGCATTTACTGTACTCCTGCACACATCTTTAGCACACACCTCAACGCCTTCCTCAAATCGCTTCCATCCCAGGCACGAGTGAGAGCAAGGCCTAAGTGTCTTGAGATCGTCCATCACAACTCCCTCCCCCTTCCATTCCAGGTCCAGCGGCCTCAGGCCATCGCACCCCTTCCGGATCTCCCATCCCCAGGGCCGCCAGCCTCACCAGCTGTTCCCGGCGGCTGGAGCTCCGATTGGTTGGCGCCCGGCGGCCCCGAACATTAACGACACCCAGGAGCCCGGCCTCGAGGGTCAGGCCCGAAAACAGACTCCAACTACCACGGCACCAGCGACTTCCAGAAGCAGTTCAGCATTTTGAGCTGAGCTTCCGGAAGCAGACGGGAGGCGGAAACCGGATGCCCGGAGCAACCATTACCCCCAACTCTTCCCACCGCCTTCCTCGCCCGTGACCTCCTCCTTGTTAACTCATAGAAAAGATAGACGCAAGTCCCTGGAACTTTCTCCTACGCGGCATTTCTTAATTTTCTTTCTCGTGTTCTGCAAACTGAAGGAGGGTGGAAAAATAGGAGTGGAGGAGTCGAAAAGTTGTACCCCGGGACTGGCTTTATGGTTTAGGCCGGTTACCATGGAGACCGATAGTAACACCAGAGCTCCCGCAGACGCCTGGAGGCTATGGCCACATTAGCCCGGCTGCAAGCTCGGTCGACGTTCGTCGCACAGCAGTACTACTTCAGGAACAGGCAAGGCGTCGACTCGGGTCCAGTGCAGAGGGCTGACTTCTCCCTAGCCAGGGTTGCTCAGCAAGTTTCCTATTAACAAAGTCCCCGAATCAGTAAATACTACCCGCTTCTCCCCCGTTCGTTTCTTGCCCTCAGACTTAATCACAAGTTTAAAAGTAGCCTTAACATACAGGGAAATTATAGATGGGGGTAAAGGGTGGTCCTAGTAATCAGCTTGGCATGGCTTAGGAAACTGCCCCCTATAGATAAAATTGTAGAATGAAGCATTTTTCTGTGACATCATCACTCCACAGTTTGATGAAACCAATGCCCTTCCTGTTGAAGTTTTAGTACTCTGACGAGGGTCACCCAGCCCTCTAGTTGGAAGATCTCAGTGTGTCCCCCATCTACGTGGGGATTTGAGCCTCCATTGTTTTGCAAATATCATTGAGCTCAACTTTCTATGGTTCATTTGTCTTCCCAAAGTGGCAGTATCTAAACCATTCTGACAAGATAATCAGTATCAATATGCTAACTAATAGAAGAGCCATAAGGAAGACACTAATAGCCTTATCCATCTCTCTACACCCAAACTTCTTGAGCAGGACGAATTTCCTTTTGGCCATGACTTTCTGGAAGCAGTGCCTCAGGAGACTTTCCACCTTAAGAGAAACCACAAAAGAGTGAATTAGATAATGGTAGAACACAGTGAGATGGCAGACCAATGGAAAATATCAATAAGACAGGATTTTGCTGAGCTGTGGGGGGTTAACATTTATCTCACCTACTACATTCTTATCGCACTGTGCATCTCTTACAGTACTTACCACAATTCAGTTTTACATTGTTTGGAGATAATATCTATCATGCCTCTCATACTAGAAGTAGAGAGTGTCTGTTTTTTGCATATCATTATTTAGGTCTCTAGTGTCTATGAGTTTCTGTTACATGATAGATGCACAATAATTCTTTGTCTGATTACTCTGTAAATGAATCTTTGAATGAATGAATGAATGATTAGACTTGGTTTAAGTAAATGTGCTAAAAACTGCTAAAGATAGAAATTATTTATTTACTATCTCTATATTACTATATTTATGGATAAATAAATTATCCATTTATTGAGCATCCATTTGGAGGCTGTATCCTACATTTATGACACACCGATATAAAGAAGTAAGCTGCATCCTTCCTGATGTTCACAGCCTAATATGGAATGTACGCATTTAAAAACTGATTACAGTAGAGTAAGGATGAACAGGAAGGGAAAGAAACTAACATTTCTTGATAATGTGCTGGGAATTGTAGTAGGAAGTTTTCATATAATAACTCATTTGTTTTTCACAATGTTTCAAGTTAATGTATTACTCTCTTTTTGGAGCTGGGGAACAATATTCCAAAAAAGCGTGATGAACTGTCATAGAGCTGCAATAGACATGATTTTTTTCTACAGATTTCAATGTCAACCTTTGTCCTCATCTCCTGGCTTTTTTTTTTTTTTTCTTAATGTTTATTTTTGAGAGAGAAAGAGTGAGCAAGGGAGGGGCAGAAAGAGGGAGACACAGAATCCAAAGCAGGCTCCAGGCTCTGAGCTGTCAGCACAGAGCCTGATGGGCTCAAACTCATGAACCATGAGATACTGACCTGAGCCCAAGTCGGATGCTTAACCAACTGAGCCATTCAGGTGTTCCATCCATCTCCTGGCTTTTGACAATAGGTACATTTCCCCCAAATGGGAGGTTACGTGGAGAAGAGACTAGAGCTATGAAAAAGCAATGAAGAGACTAGGCTGGCATTCCTTCCTTTTCATTTAGTATTACTATTAATATTTCAGTATAATGAATAGTCTCTAAAAATCATTAAAGAATCAAAATTCCAATGTTTGCCTAGTTAAAACAACAACAGAGTATTGGTAGCTTTGGGCACAAAATATAAAATATTAATATATGAAAAAAGTTAACTGACAGTTTCCTGAAGCAATTACTGTCATTTCCCATGTGTTATTGGATAGATGAGCTCTTTGTAAACAGCAGTGTACATTAGAATCACTTGAGGATGATGTTAAAATATAGATTCTGATTCAGTGAGTCTCTGTTATGGCTAGAGCAGAGAATCTGTATTTCTCAGAAAAGTTCCTATGAGGTCCCATTTTGCAGAAAGAAAGAAAGAAAGAAAGAAAGAAAGAAAGAAAGAAAGAAAGAAAGAAAGAAAGAAAGAAAGAAAGAAAAGAAAAAAGAGAAAGAAAGAAAAAAGGTGGGGGAGACTTTGTAGAAAAGGAACTAGGTATGGGTCTATCATCTATTTCTTAAACATCCTTACGAATTACATATCTATTCCCACTTTGCATGAGGGAAGGAAAATGTGATTCATATAGAAAAAATTCACAAGCCATTCAAAGCAATGTTAGTTTGATGGAAGGAGATTAAGCCAAGAGACCGACACAGGTGGCTACTGTAGAGTTAGAATTAATAGTTTGCACAGGTATAAATTTTAATACGGGTGTAATGAGAACTTTTACTGAAATAAAATTAGAGGAAAAAAGTTACTGGAATGAAATTTTAAAAAATAAACATTTCCAGTTATAAATATAATAAGTGAATTTAAAAATACAAAAGTTACGACTGAAATGTAAATGTTTTAGGAGAGCAGCATGGAGGTCGTATCCAGGGGATTTAGTATGTGAATGACAGTCACTGCAGAATTTGTGAGTGGGGATGGGAAGAAGATAAATGACTAACAAAGAAGTAGTAGAAGACAACTTTCCTAAACTGGAGAAAGTATATGGCTTTGAATGAAAAGGGCTCTGAGTATGACACAGGATTTTTTTTTTAAAGACACCGTCTTAGATGTTATCTGGCAAAATTTCAAGGATACAGAAAAATTTCACAAGCTCCTAATCTAGACAGAAAAGAAAAAGTTATTTGCCAAGGAAGAAAGAAGCACTCATTGGTTCATAAGCAACGCAGGGACTTGTAAAAGAAAAGGACAATATTTATTGATTATTCAAGTCAATATCTAAAAAACCTAAACCCAGCACAGCTCTTATTCATTTTTTTTGATGAAAGAAAGACATTTTCAGATATATAAAGACTCAGGGTTATGTCATCTATAGAGTCTGTTGGAGGAAGCATACTCAAGAAAGTACTCTGCAATCAAGTGAAAATTAAATTAGAACAAAGATCTCAAGATAGGGGAAGAGGAGTAAAATAAGTTATAGAAACAATAAGGAGCAACTATACTTGTATTTATAGTTAAATCTAGATGAACACTTACTGAGATTTATGGGATACCCCTGATTCTGTGCAGTTAAAAGAATCCAGTAGGCATTTTCCGTTTACTTCCTAGACATTTCCTTGTGCAATTCAAAACTTCATCAGTACATTTTCCACCTTCCAAGTGATCACAGGCAGTGGTGTTGCGAATTTTCTCATTAATATGTAATGCAGGTCATTCTATATCTAGCTTCTAATAGCAGTTTTTCCCCACTCCTCCAGCCTACGTGATAAGAATAATTACTCCAGAGGCCAGTCTTTTTAGTGACCTCAGAACTCCCTACAGTCTCTCCCTTCACCCAGTCCCAAAGTCAATGCCATATGTTTAAGATTTTCAATACTGCCTACCATGATATCTTTCAGTTTTTTAAGTTTTATGTGGCCAAAGTTGTCAATCTATTTTTTTTTTTTTTTTTTGGCTCTGGGAATTTTACGTTTATTGGAATGGTCTTTCTCAACCCATGGATGTAAGAAAATTCTCTGTGTTTACTAACAATGTTGTAAAAGTTTGATTATATTTTTATTCACTCTGCAATTGTGTTTATGTGTAAGTGTCATGTAAGATAGGTACTTAACTTTTAGTACAGAAATTGTCTCAGAGCCTTTATTGAACGTTCCACCCTTTCCTTACTGGCTTTATGCATTGCAAGATAAAGTTGTAAAAATTACAAAGGAAGAAGCAAAATTGGCTTTATTCACTGACAATATGATCTTGTGCATAGAAAACTAAATTACCTATGAAAACATCTAGCAATAAGTGAATTTAGCAAGGTTGTAGGACACAATACACAAAAATCAATGACCTTTTTATACAATAGCAATGAACAATTGTTATTTAAAACTACAAAAACAATTGATTTATAATAGCATCAAAATATATGTCACTTTATCTATTGACCTTGTAGAAATATCCTGTGTACAAAATTTGTGCACAGAAGTGTTTTAAGTACAGGGTTATGTATAAAGGCATTCATTAAGGCATTACTTCTTTTTAAAAAGAATTTTTTGAGGCAGAGGGAGAGAAAATGAATGGAGGAGGGGCAGAGGGAGAAGGAGAGAAAGAATCTCAAGTAAGCTCCATGCCCAGCATGTAGCTTGATGTAGGGCTTGATCTCACAAATGGGAGATCATAGCCTGAGCCAAAATCAAGAGTTGGACACTTAACAGACTGAGCCACCCAGGTGCCCATAAAGCATTAATTTTTTTAATGTTTTTAATTTGTTTCTGAGAGAAAGAGAGACAGTGTGAGAAGGGGAGGGTCAGAGAGAGAGGGAGACACAGAATCTGAAGCAGGCTCCAGGCTCTGAGCTAGTTGTCAGCACAGAGCCTGACGCGGGGCTCAAACCCACGAACTATGAGATCATGACCTGAGCCGAAGTCGGACACTTACCCATCGGACACTGAGCCATCCAGGCACCCCAAGCATTATTTCTATTAGGGAAAAAACTACTGAAAGTAACTAATTAGCTAACTAAATCAAGGCATTTACACATGATGGAATATTAAGCAGAAGTTTAAAAGTGAAAAATTTTAGGGGCCTTGGGTGTCTCAGTCTGTTAAGTGTTTGACTCTTGGTTTCTCCTCAGGTCATATCTCATTAGCTTCATGGTGGGTTCAGGCCCCACTTTGGGCTCGGTGCTGGTGGTGTGGAGCCTGCTTGGGATTCTCTCTCTGCCCCACCCCCTGTTCCTGCTTTCTCCATTTCTCTCAAAATAAATACACTTTTTTAAAAAATAAAAAATTGGGGTG